GGATGTGATTTACGGACACTTACTGTAAGACACGACACGATGTCTCAGTCAAACCACACCAAGAACTCACTCCTTGGACTCACCACTTATTCAGACTCCGAAGATGACACTCATTCAGACGACAACTCCAATGATACCTATGACAGGGACTTGAGGGCAGCATTTGCTGACAGCCGGACCAATTCACCATCAAATTCATTGCTTCAATCCATCGACTCTTTGGACAAAAGCAAACACAAGACGCTTGAAGTGGTCGATGAGATCGTGGATGAAGTGGTGGATGAGGTCCGTGAGGGCGATGTTCGGCCCTCCTCTCCGGTCTCTTTCCACCGCTCATTGTTTGGCAAAAGTGATGACCAAATAGTGATCCCTTCGGAGCCATCGGAGTTGTGTTCGGAAGCACTTCAGCAGAAGGTCTGTAAATTGCACTCAAAGATGACGATGGGATCCAATATGAACACAATTATCCAAAGACGCAAAGACTTCCGCAATCCCAGCATTTATGACAAACTGATCGCTTACTGCAGTATCGATGAAATGGCCACTAATTATCCGCCAAATCTATACGACCCGCACATCTGGACAGAGAAGTCCTTCTACGAAGAGTTGGCCAAAAGGCAGAAGGAAGACATGGAGCGCAGGGAACGGGACCGACGGGACAGGACTAAAGTGGAGTTCATTTCGGGCACTAAGAAGGGACAGACCAGTGATGGCATGGAATCGGCCAAAAAGAAGAGCAAATGGGATCTGCCGGCTGTGGCCAACGCACCCACCGCTCCACCACTCAGTCTAATGCGACCTCAGGTTGTCATACCTGTCACTGCGGCCACCGGTACTAAACCCACTGTTATCTCAGCCTTCGGTACAATTAGCAAGAAATCCAAATAAAAGCTGTATTTCACTGTTGATGTAGTATTTATGGCTAAATCACATGTTTTATATCATTAATTTGTAATTAATATCAATCCATTAAAATCTGAATTAACGCTATTTTAAAAACTTTTTTGTTTTGTGGTTCAATGTGTTTTGAAAGTTATATGATCAGGAGGTAAATGCTTAATAATACCGTAATACTGTATATAATTTAATATTTTATACAATGTTTATTAAAGAATAGATAACATTTCATATGATTTCATATTTAGATTAGTCGATTAATTGAATGTCATTTTTTCTAATTTTGATAACACTATTTGGATAAAATTAATGCTAAAAAATATTTTACTACTGTATAATACAGTATGTAGTTAAATTTATACAGTATGTAGTACAGTATTGCTTGTACTAAAATATAGCATGATAATATAAAACTTGTGATTAAACCGTAGAATATAATGATTAGTAGTTCCCGATAACCCTTATGAATGGATACATTGATTCAAAACAAAATTAATGTTGATTTAAACTTTTAACCCAAACTAAACTTGAAGCTTTCAATACAAGCATACAGTACTTATCCTCAACTTTTTATGAACCCCTTCAATATATTAAAACTTTTCTGTACGACATGTGTGACTATTGAAGTGAATGCAATGCATTTCCAATGCCACCAATGTTATGCAGTGAAAGCAGTTAATGAGTGAGTGGTTTGCAAATGTGGCAAATGATGACTGTGTTTGCAATGAATTGAATGAGTGATTGTCAGTGTGTGTGATGTTCATGAAGGGGAGGATTGTATGGATTGTATGCAAGGATTGCAATGATTTGATTGAATGATGCCTTCTATGACTCAATTCACGCCATTAATGACTCTTTCATAGCATTCACACAAACATATGAATTGTTTGCCTCAAAGAGTGGATCCAATCAATCAGTTGTTGTGTGGAGTCGTGTATTGTCTGAGTCGTTGACAACAAGCCAATGGTTGACAGACTAAGTATTGAATGGCAACTATGGATGTGTTGAGCGATTGTCTCATTAAATGCTTGTATTGATTGCAGTGAACAGTGAGGCGAACGCCCGGCGCATACAGAACGTGGAGAACTGCTTCGGCATCTCTGGAGTGGTAACACATTGTCTTGTTATGTCTTGAGATGTCTGATCACATGTTTTACTCATTTGTCACCTTTTAAAGCCATTGGCCATTCAGGGACGGGTCCTCGTCGGTGAAGGTATGTCTGTGTCTGGCATTCACTGATCGCTTTGGCCAGTCGTCTGACAGATGAGTGTTTCACTACTTGCAGGCATTCTCACGAAGGGCTGTCGCAAGAAATTAAAGCCCCGACAGGTGTTCCTCTTCAACGACATCCTCGTCTACGGAAGTATTATCATAAACAAGAAGAAGTACAACAGACAGCATATCATTCCTCTTGAAAACGTCAAACTCGACGATCTTGAGGACGAGGACAGTATGTATTGATTTCGTGATTGCGTGACACTGTCTGAGCCTATGCTGTGTTGACAGACCTGAGGTATGGCTGGCAGATCAAGACACCCACGAAGTCGTTCAACGTATACGCGGCCAC